CACGACGGAGGATATTGGACTCGGAACAATGCTACTTACTTGGATTTCAACTTCACGACGAAGGATATCCAACTCAAAGAAGGATTATCTGCCATCAAAATTGTCGAGTTCGACTCTATTCAGCTCGATGACACATCAATCGCACTACTTTCCGGTTGCAGTCGAGGTTTTCAAGTCGAGAAGATGACCTGGGTTAGCCGTGCCTTAGTGACAAGCAACCATTTTCAAACAACATAGCTTAAGTCAAGAAAAAGCTATCTGTCAATGAAGATTTCTGAGTTCGATTCCGATCCAAGGTCTTTAAACCGAGAAGAAGACCGAAGGGTAACGGGAAGCCACGTGCTGATTCAAATTCCGAACTACGACTTCAATTTCATATCATTTCAAGATGAACTCGACTTCACGATGGAGGAGTCATTCGTAACTCAATTCGACAGGGAGTTATTGAAACATCAGAGTTAATTTTCAACTCCACTGAACGAAAAGTGTATCTTTTAATCTTTGCCCTATCCCCGTTACACGACTATGGGCAAAGAGGGGCAGCTGTCAGCACACATTTTCGTCCTACTAGGATTCAAACTCCTAAAAATAGGATAAAATTTTGCTAGGATTCAAACTCCTAAAAATAGGATAGAGTTCTACTAAGATTTAAATTCTTAAAGATAGGATCCACAAGCACTATAAATAGCCATTGTAACTCACCATTGTAACACACGATTTACACACAAAACATAGAGGAAAGCACGGGAAGATACAAAGACAAAACTATTGTAAATGATTTGAAAATGAAATAAAATGTAGCATTTTCTTTTTTCTTTCTTTTGCATGTGCACGTTATTTTTCTTGAGATTTGGTTCGAATAACTCAAAACGTGGGTTGTGTCAATGACCAAAATGGGTAGGGTTTCGAAGTTTCGAACGTAGATCTACCCCGAGGCTTATTTTTAAAAACCGTTTGATTTTCGGTTAAAGGAGGGGAAAAGCTTTTTAAAAATCTATATTAGTCCCTTTATTTATTATATGGATATTTTATTCATTTATTTTTATTATTCATGTTATTATTATTATATGTATATATATATTAAATTATTTTCATTTATTTTTTTTACTATATTTTATTATTATTATATATATATATATTTCTTTAATATTTTACTTATAAGTCTAATATTACTATATATATATTGTAATTATCTTTATCTAGTCGTATATATTTTTTATACTTTTAATAGTTTATTTATATACCTATTATTAAATATATATATTCTTAATTATTTTTATTTGATTATTTCTTTATTTATGTAATATATCTTATAACTTTATATATTTATATTATGTTTTTATTATTTTCATTTTTTTATTCATTATTATTATATTATTATTTTTTTAAGAAAAATTTTGTGTCTTTTTCATTATTATTATTAAATATTATATTATATACTACTAATCTAGAGAGCCCATTTTTTTGTCTTATTTCTTACTATTTTTTTTCTTATCTTACTTATTTATTTTATTTTTTCCTTGTATCTTATTTGTTTTCTTTACGTTGTTTATCTAACACATTTCTCAATTTTTTTAAAGGATATTTTCAAATCAATCAAGGGTAAGTAATTAGGATCGAAATTTTACATTTTAATTTAACTTGTTATTTTTCTTAATTAAGACAACTGGAAATTACGTAGTACCGAAAGGGCGGTTCAAGGGTGTTAATCCTTCCTTGACCGTAACCGACTCCCGAGCCCGACATATTTCTGTTAAGACGCAGATCATGTAAGAAATAGGGTATCCGATCAACCCATTTATTTTTAAATAAATTATCGGTGACGACTCCAATCCACATTTTTCTAAGTCGAAGTTCAATTCCGAGGCCCAACTGAAAGACAATTGCGACAATAATCTGGTTGAAATGATGGGTTGGAGGAGAAACATGCCGAGTTAGCTTAATAAACTCGTTTTTAGCAGTGTCAAACAGCTCTCTATGTGACGAAAACTTGAATTGGGTCTTCAAGTAGCTAATGCTATGAACTTATGGTTACCTGGTGAAGTAGCCGGGGTGAAAGCGTGGAGACCCGATGGTGTGACTCTCTGAATCGTCACTGAGTTGTTTGAAATCGGTTTCTATTTAGGGAAAGTTGCTTTATAAACACTCATATACTGGTTTGCACTTTTCCTTTGGAAATAAAGAGTCGAGTCATCAACCCAACACGGCCACCCACCGTGTTCAACAACCTTGACTCTGTTAGTCCCATCACGAGTCAAGAAAACATAAATATCAGTACTCAGTTCTTCAATCTCCCCATCCCAACCTCTTTCTATCCCAACCTTAACACGGCGGGGCTGAAATCGGCTACTCCATAAGGAGTGAGTCGTCGAGTCAACCCGATCCTTAAATGAGTGGGGTACACAGCAGCCCAACTCATCCTAGATTGACCCGGGTCCTCATGAGTTGACACATGAATTAAATTCTCCCCAGTCAAACTCGGCTTATCTTTCATCGAAACCTGATTCTTGCTTTCTTCTAAACCCAACAAAGGTGCCTGAAATCGGACCGGAATTTCAAGTGCCGACCTAAACCTCGTCCTCGATCTCGATCTAGTACTTCGCGACACACTGTAATTCGTCATAGTAAATATTCGACATTCCGTTGCGTTGCGATCCGTCACATAGATGAGTTGGAGCGCCGGCGGAGCTTTACGGGCATGAATTAGGCTTCGGTTGTGAAAAAGAGAGGATAGAAGGCGGATAGGACGACGGAAAGTGGCCGTTGAAGTTAACGGATTCAACGTCGGTAACCCGAAATTCATTTTAAGGATTTGGTGGGTCAGAAGTTGGAAGCGTAAAGATGTCCTGGGAATATTCTGATCGATCAATCACCGTAAAAACGATGGTTCGGCCGTTCCTCGGAGACCCATGTTCCGGCGCTGCTTTGCATAGCAAAGCGAAGAGGAAATGGAAAAGAAAGAAGGCGCAAAGCGATCGGGGTTTTATAGCTTAGCATATATTGCACTGGCTTTTACGAGTGCATGCGTCTTAGGTCTTTGTTAGATATATGGTGGATGTTAGGGATGGGTATATGTCGGGTTTAGGCCAATTTGATCTTAAAATTTAATGCCTTTCACCCAATCTGACTCGACTCAAAAAATATATAACCTTTATCTGACCCGATTTTTTTTTAAAAAAATCCGAACTCGACCCGATCCGACTCGAAATAATAATAAAAATATTATTTTTATTTAATAAAAACAGTGATTTAATTAAAAAATAATATATAAAAGGGTATTATTGTAATTATTTCTAAATATATAAGGTAAAATTATATTTTTCTCGGGTCGGGTATTTTTTACCTTAAATCCAAATCCAAATCCGACCCGACACGAACATCATATTTAAAAAAACTTGACCCGACCCAACCTGAGCCCCGTTTTTTTAAAAAAAATCCGATCTGATTCTATCGGGTCGGATCGGAACCCATCGGGTTCGGGTTCCATGCCCATCTCTAATCGTTGTAGTTGTATTTACCTTTTAGTATCTCAACTATCACTCTTATTCTATTTTAGTCATTCAATTTTTTAAAATCATATCTAAGTTTAGTTTTGATTTCAATTTGACCATCTATCTTTAAAAAATTCAGTGATGTTGACATGTTACCATAAGATAATATCACATCGTCTTTGAAAAAAATAAAAAAAAATACCACGTCAATAGGTTTGTTGATATTTTAACGGTGGGTGATCAAAATGAAACCAAAATGTAATGTTATGTATGATTTTGAAAAGAAAAATAGTTATATGATCAAAACAGACTAAAAGTAATAGTTGAGATACTTAATATGTAGTTTACCTTTATATATAATATTAAGGATAATTTTATTTTCCTTTCTTTCGATAAGAACAAATATGTGGTTTTTTATTTACTATTTTCCCACTTGATTTTAAATATATTAATTTTTAGGTCTTTGGGCAGTGGGACTAGGTGTACCCAATTTTAATATTTTATTATGAAATTATTATATATTAACATGATGCTGATGTTTAAACTTTAATTTATATTGGAATACTTTTAATTTAATTTAGTCTATAAATATTCATACATATCTATACTATTCATTAAATTTGAGTTTTTTTTATTTTAATATATCCATTATATTTTCAAAGTGATTAAAAATAAAAATTAATATCAATAAAAAATCATATTTAAAAAAATACTATTAATCTTAAAACTACAAACCACTTCATTACCTATTAAAACAAAGTTTTTTTAGAGTAAATAAAATAAAGTTTTAAAAATTAACATCATGTTAATCGCATCTTCATGCCATGTTGTGAATAAAAAATTGCTTAACCCTCCCCTCACAGAAACCCTAAAATTAAATAAGGAAATCACAAATCTTCATGCCATGTTGTGAATAAAAATAAAGTGTGATGCGTGTTGAATACGTGTAATTACACGAGCACGGACCAAATAGCGACTGTAACGTGTATATTAACCTTATGATCAATCACTTGATAAATACATACATAATAACATATATTTAAATATTTGAGAAGCTCGTGTGAATTTTCAAATCCCACGTTATTTAGATATATGAATTTTCAAGTATTTAAATATATCGTTTTAAATATTTTATGTATGTGTGTGTGAGTGATTGAACCTAAGGTTAATTAATATAGCCTCAATATAAATAGAAATACTCAAATTATATCGTTTCTTTTAAAGTGATGCCTAACGTTACAGATGTTCATGTAATTACGTGTCTTTGACATACCACACACGTGTTTGTTCTTTTTAAATAAAATTCATATCAATTTTTTTCATATTTTTGCCCCCTCTTCAATGGTCAATGCTACCGACTTCTACAAAGGTCAATAGAATGGGCTCCCTACAATGGACCTTCTACCAGGTACTTCCTGCACAATGCACTTTCTACCACATCAACAGAGGGTGCTTGTTACAAAAATGTATGCAGCCCAAAGCTCTGCGACAAGGACTGAACATCTGCCCAAGCTGCGAAAAATCCTAAGATCCAACAAAAACTCCGTTACACATAGTTATATGCTTAGAATCGTACACTGCATTGAGGCTTGGTCCCGATGTGGTGGTGCCGCCGCGGCCTGGCACTTTATTGAGCCAATGACAATCCTCAAAAGCACAATGGCCCCTCTTCGGCCACTCCACGTCATCAGGATTGATGTAAAATGGGGCCCACGAAGAGGTCCCATCTTCGTAAAGACTGTGGGTAAGCCTCTTCAAATCGGAGCCGTCTAATTTGATCGTGTATATCTCACCATATGGACCTAAGTCATGTGGATTTGAGATTGGCTCAGATGATATTCCTGCATAATCCGTAGTAAACGTTATCATCTTTCCATCCGGACTAAATGACGGGTGCATTGTCCGACCGGATGACCCGCTACGAATGAACTTCCTTAATCCGGTACCGTTCGGATGGATTAGGTACATCTCGAAACTACCTGAACCCGGGTTATGCCGATCCGAAGAAAATGCGATCCAATCACCGTTTGGTGACCAATTAGGCATGGTATCAATCCATGAACCATTCGTTAATCTTTCAATCCCGCCTTTCTCTCCTTCGATTGCATCCATTATATACAAGTTCTTGTGACCCGATCGACTCGACCTATAAACAATCCGTTTACCATCGGGTGATGGTGAGGGAAATGCGTTGTTTTTACCATTTGCGGTCAACCTTCTATAATTTGATTGGGTAAAGTCATCAACGTCGATGGCCATAATATCAACTTTAGTACTCTCACTAGAAAACCCCGGTCCGGCACTTGTGTATACAATTCCTTTCCGGACCGGGTCCCATGCGGTTGCAAAAGCATTGAAGGGGAAAACCTGGAGCATGTTCGAGCCGTCCCGGTTCACTACATAAATACCAGGAGAAGTGGAACCCACGTAGGCAATTCGGTCACCCGCGGGTGAGAAAGTAGGAAATGAACCGTCGACTCTGAACAGAGAGAGATTCGGCACTGGACTTTTAATATTTTCAAGTAATAATTGTGCTTTCCCTTCATGATTCTCTCCCCTGCACTTATGGTATCCAACTCGGGCTGAGTCGGGTGATATAAACGGGTTGAAGTGATGGGTAGTAGGAGAAACATGTCGAGTTAGCTCAATAAACTCGTTTTTGACAGTGTCAAACAACTCTATGTGACGAAAATTTGAATTGGGTCTTCTTGTAGCTACTGCTATGAACTTATGGTTACCTGGGGAAGTAGCTGGGGTGAAAGCGTGGAGACCCGGTGGTGTGACTCGCTGAATCGTCACTGACTTGGTAGAAACTGGTTTGTATTTAGGGAAAGTTGCTTTATAAACACTCATCCACTGGTCTTCACTTTTCCTGTGGAAATACAGAGTCGAGTCATCAACCCAACACGGCCACCCACCGTGTTCAACAGCCTTGACTCGGTTAGTCCCATCATGAGTCAAGAAAACATAAATATCAGTACTTAGTTCTTCAATCTCCCCATCCCAACCTCTTTCTCTCCCATACGAAGCCACGGCTGTCCAAACCCCAGATGGAGACACGGCGGGGCTGAAATCGGCTACTCCGTAAGGAGTGAGTCGTCGAGTCAACCCGGTCCCTAAATGAGTGGAGTACACAGCAACCCAACTCGTCCTAGGTTGACCCGGGTCCTCATGAGTTGACACATAAATTAAATTCTGCCCACTCAAACTCGGCTTATCTTTCATCGAAACCTGATTCTTGCTTTCTTCTGAACCCAACAAAGGAGCCTGAACTCGGACCGGAATTTCAAGTGCCGACCTCGATCTCGATCTAGTACTTCGTGACGCGCTGTAATAAAGCGCGTCATAGTAAATATTCGACATCCCGTTGCGTTCCGTCACATAGATGAGTTGGAGCGCCGGCGGAGCTTTAGGTGCCTGAATTAGGCTTCGGTTGTGACGAAGATTGATGATAGAAGGTGGCGAGGACGACGGGAAGTGGCCGTTGAAGTTGACGGATTCACCGTCTGTAACCCGAAATTCATTTGAAGCATTTGGTGGGTCGGAAGTTGGAAGCGTAAAGATGTCCCAAGCGTATTCTGATCGGTCAAGCGTCGCAAAAACGATGGTTCGGCCGGTGGTCGTAGATTCATGTTCTGGCGCCGCTTTGCATTGCAAAGCGATGAAAAAATGAAGAAGAAAGAAGGCGTAAAGCGATTGGGGTTTCATAGCTTAAGCATATATTGCAATGGATTTTACGAGTGCATGTATCTTAGGTTTTTATTGGATTGACGATCGTTGTATTTAACTTTAGGATAAACTACATGTTTAGTATCTCATTTATTATTTTTATTTATTTTGGTCATTAATTTTTTTTTCAAAATCATGCCTATCATTTAGTTTGTAGTTTAATTTTGATCAATCGTTGTTAAAAAATTAAAAGTGATATTTCCTGTCAGTATAAGATAATATCACATTATTATTGATAAATAAAAATTATCACGTCAGTAGTTCTGTTAATTTTTAACAATGAGTGACCAAAATAAAATAAATATAACATTAGGTATGATTTTGAAAAGAACTAATTAAATGATTAAAATGGGAAACAATTGATAATTGGGATACTCAACATGTAATTTACCCTTAAGTTTAATATTAGGGATAATTTTGTTTTTCTTTGTTTAGATAAGAATAAATATGTATTTTTTATTTACTATTTTCCCACTTGGTTTAAAATATTTTAAATTTTGGGATTGTCGGTGGGAGTAGGTGTACCCAATTTTAATTTTTTATTATACAATTATTATTTTTTAACATGATTTTGATGTTTAAAACTTTATTTTAGTTTGGAATACCTTGAATTGAATTTTTTTTTTCAATTTCAGTCTATAAATATGTATATCTATATTATTCATTGAATTTGAGTTTTTTTTGTTATTTTAATATATTCATTACATTATCAAAATAATTAAAAATAGAAATATTAAATCTAAGAATTAATATTAATAAAAATCACTTTATTCCTTGTTAAAACAAAGTTTTTAAAAGTAAATAAAATAAAGTTATAAATATCAACATCATTTTAAAATTAAAATAATTAAAATTAAATGAGAAAAGTTAATAAATAAGATAAGGGGAATTCTACAACACTAAACCAGCACCGATGAGCATCATTAATTTCATTTATAAAAATTTAAATTCTAAAGAGCTCAATTATAAATTAGTTAAAAGTTCAAGGTAAATTATTTATGGTAAATTATAACATTGACCACTCAACTATTTAGCCATTTTATTTTCACCATCGATCTTTCAATTTTGTCAATCAAACAACTTAACTATTTAATTGTTGTCAATCAATCTAACCGCGGTTGAAAGTTCTGACATAAAAATTGACATAATTCCATAATTAGTCCTCAATAGTTATATATTCTATCAATTTGATCATAATTTTTTTATTTTAATAAATTTAATCATCTAATATTTATGACATGTGTCACTATTTTATTGAAGGATTTATTTTGTAATTTAAATTTATTAAATTTAATTATTTTTTGACCCACTCGTATCGCCATATGATTGGAGGGAAAACAATTAGCATAGTAAAATAGTGTATAGAAAGAGTTCATGGGGGTCGAACTTGGGTGTAATGGATAGGGCAAGCTAATATTAAACCGATATGAATGATAAATATTCATAGCAAGTCAAATGTATGTATCAAAATTAATATTTTATGGTTACAGTTCGTGGGTTGATTTTTCAAATACCAACGCAAGTAAAACAAATGGAACAAGTCGCGGGTTGACTGCCGACTCTGCTTCTCCTTCGAGATGGCAAACTGGATGATGGTGATGAGGTCGACGGTAAAATGGATAAAGGCAGCACTGGATTTGTTGTCACCTATTTTCCGGCAAGTTCTTGGCTTCGACATTGATGTTGGTGAAGCTCATGTTCAATCCTTAAATAATTTAAAAAACCTAATTCTAAATACTCAAATTAATTATAAAATAAATTTTATTTTGATATTTTTCAATATTTTGAAATAATAATTCTAAATATATATATATATATATTCATGATTCATTTTTAAAATTACAAAAGTATTTTTTTAAATTATAACTTTATAATTAATCTTTTAATTCTTAAAATTATAATTAGTTTTTTAAAATATGAATTATTAATTCACAAAAAATTTTATAATTAATTTTTATTTAATTGTAGTTACATTTGAAAATTTATAATTTATAATTTTTGAAATCCAATAACTTTAGCTATAAAAATTAAATCATTTTTTATTAAATAATGTGATTCAATTCTTTAATTTTTAGTAGTTTTAAATATAATTTTAAAAATATATTTAAAATTTCAAAAATCCATATATTTTAAAAATATTTTTCTAGTTTTTTGAAATTATTACTTAAAATTATTGAAAAATATATATAAAAAAAGTCACATGAAGCAAATGAGATTTTTTTTTATTTAATATGTCACATTAGCTCTTAACGATAGTCAAATGTCAATACTTCTTTCTAACGAAATCTAAAATTTAATATTCATTTTATAATTTTTTAAAAGTTGAATGATCAAAAAGATCATTTTATCATAGTTTAATGACTATTTATAAATTTATACCGATACACATTGGTGTGTGGTGTGCGTTGTAGACTTGTCCTAATAGGAACAAAATTTATTTTAGACTGTTGTAAAAAATATTATTTGTTACATATATTTTCAATTTCAGGTTATTTTAATTTTTTAAGAAAAATAATCATGATATATGTGATTTAGAATAAAAAAAATATTTATATATTATCTTATAACCAACTTGGAGGAAGGAGACGATAAAATGTTTGAAAAAAAATCGGAAATTGTAATATTAAAAATAAAAAATAAAGATAAAATAAGGGGTGAATTGACCTTTCAAATACTTATTTGGATAAATAAAATAAGTTCATCCATAGGAAACTGGCAGGAAACGAGTGAAGTTGAACTTTGGGGGGCCAATTGCCAACTTGTTTTAATTAAAATATACAAATATATTTGGCAAAATTACAAAAATGTCATCCAAATAGAGTTCCAAAAATGCCAACCAGTATTTCATATTCTCACAAGAACGTAAATGATATAGGGTTAACCAGTATTTCATAAATACTTATTATTACCTTTAAGTTTATTTTAATTATCGACTGTTAAAAAATTAATGATGATATTGATATATTATCATAAAATAATATCATATTATTATTGAAAAAATAAAAAATATCACGTCAAAAATTTTCGTTATTTTTTTACACTAAGTGATCAAAATAAAATTAAAATTTAATGTTATGTATGATTTAAAAATAATTGAATGATTAAAATAAAATTGTACAAATAATTTAATAACTAAATGCGTAATTTATTGTATTATGTAGTAATAATTTATTAACCATAGTTTAACCTATGCATAAAATTGTGTCGATCATAATTAAATATTGAAGTTGACTAAGTGGTATTGTATGTAGCGTGAGCATTCGATCGAGTCGGGTCGAGTTAAAAATTTTTGAGTTATTTGAGTTGACGAGTCGTATTTTACAACTCGAACTTAACTTGAATTTTTTTTAGTCGAGTCGCGTTTAAGAATTCTAAATCGAGTTATTCTAGTTTCTATACTAATTATATTATAATTATTTATAATATTGTGACAAGTATTTGTTCCATTTTTTTTACTCTCTAACCATATATATATATATATATATATATATATATATATATATATTATTCTTTTCACATTATAATGTTATTTAATATATCAACTACAATCTTAAATTATAAAATATATTCATAGTATTATATTTTAAAGAAAGTATTTTGAGGGTAAAATAATGATGAGAGTATAAAGGAGTCAAAGAATTGATGGGAAGAAAGAATTTGCAAACAATTGTAGTCGAAAGATCAAATTGAGTAAAATTTGAAGTCAAGGGACTGAATAAAAAAAATAGAGAGTATATTTTTAGTAAAAAGTAAGAATTAAAGTTACATAGGTATTCTATTGTGGTATATGAGCATGTGATTCAAATTTGGTAAAATGGACTTAAAATAAATGATGAATTGAAGAAATAAAGAAATTATTAAAAATTGAGGGATTAAATTGAAAAAAATGAGTTATCAAAAATAGGAACTAAAGGTACATATATATTCTATGATGATATAGGAGCATGTGATTCTAATTTGGTAAAAAAATGGACTTAAAATGAAGGAAGAATTGAAGGAATAATTAAATCAAGAACTAAATCGTAAAACTGTCAAATTTTCGGTTTCGAGTAACTCAAAATTTTAAAATTTCAACAAACTCAAAAAGAATTGATAATTCAGATCGACTCGAATAACTCAAAATTGGAAAAAAATCAAATTTTCGAGTTGAGTCGAGTTTTGTTCACCCTAATTGTATCTATAATGTAGTAGAACCAAGTTCAAATCCTTCAATTTTTTTCTTTAGTTTTCACCAATAATATGACCTTTAAAAGAAAGTAGGGCAAATTACGTATTTAGTATATAAACTATTAGTTTTAGTCTGTTTTAGTACTTAAACTTTCAATTTTTTCAAAATCATACTTAATGTTTAGTTTTTGTCTCATTTTAGTATCCACCGTTAAAAAATAAATACATTTAGTACCTAAACTATCAGTTTTGGCCCGTTTTAGTACCTAAACTTTCAATTTTTTCTCCAAAATGAACGTTAAATTTTGAACATGGGTACTAAAATACAATAAAATTGAATTTATGTATAGTTTAAAAAAAATAAAAGTTTAAATACTAAAACAGACAAAAATCGATAGTTTGAATACTAAACGTATTATAAATAATTAATGAGTGTTGGACTACATTAAATGATTAGTTGTTTCTAAACCTCTTTCCCCAATTCAATTTCTCTGCTCTCACTTAATTTTTCCTCTAATAAGACGACAAGTAATTTTATAAATTAATAAAATATTTGAATTATAATAACTAAATATATATATATATATATATATATATATATATATATTATTTAATATATTAATAAGAATGTTGTATTACTTAATTTGATTTGTTTAACAAAAATGTAAGATTATAGTATTTGATTGAAGAAATATAAGATAAGAAAAATGTGATTTACCAAATTGTCTTTAAGATATATTTTCTTTTTTAACAAGTTGTATTCTCAATATTAAAATCAAAATATTCATACAAAAATTCATAGAAAATATAATTTTCTATTATTTTTA